TACGGAATGATAAATTTTTGCTACAGAATCTAATGTATAGAACTGTCTCTCTAGTAAATAATGACTTTTTTTTTTTTTTGTCCTCAACTTGTAAACACACCTGTATATCTTATTATTCACTGCAGAATGGTAAGTGGTGTAATTCTTCATCTATGTTCAAAAGTGAGAAAAGTTTACGAGAAATTGTTGACTAGATCAAGAGACACAGTGATCTACAAAATTAATTATTATTTACCTCAAATTAAGAATGTAGAGTTATTTTCTCATATTCTAGAGTTTAGTAAGATTCATCTAGGTGACAGACTATTGCCTTAAATGGATGATAAAAAGAAGAAAGGTTCATCAGAAAGGAGAGGCATTTTAACAAACCAGTGTAGGTTTCTTAAGCAAGGAAGGACTTGAGGGTATTAGTGGATGAAAAACTGAGCTGGCAATGTGTGCTCACAGCCCAAAAAGCCAACTATATCCTGGGAAGCATCAAAAGTGTGTCTAGGCGGTCAAGAGGTGATTCTCCCTCACTACTCCACTCTGGTGAGACCCCATCTGGAATACGGTGTTCAGCTCTGGGGCCCCCAGCAGGTCCAGAGGAGGCCTCAAAGATGATCAGGAAGCACCTCTGCAACGAGGACAGGCTGAGAGAGTTGGGATTGTTTAGCCTAGAGGAGAGAAGGCTCCGGGAAGAACTTGTAGCAGCCTTACAGTACTTAAAGGGGGCCTACAGGAAAGATGAGGAGGGACCCTATCAGGGAGTGTTGTGATAGGACAAGGGGTAACAGTTTTAAGCTGGAAACGGGTAGACTTGGATCAGATATTAGGAAGAAATGCTTTACTGTGAGGGTGGTGAAATACTGAAACAGGCTGCCTAGAGTAGTTGTGAATTCCCCCTCCCTGGAAGTGTTTAAGGCCAGGCTGGATGAGGCTTTGAGCAACCTGATCTAGTGGAAGGTGTCCCTGCCCACGGCAGAAGGGTTGGAACTAAATGATCTTTGATGTCCATTCCAACCCAAACCATTTTATGTTTCTAAGAAGTCTATCAAATCTTTCCAGTCTGGAGAACTCATATCCTGTACTTACAAAAAACCCCCACAACCACGCCCCCTATCCCCTCTTCCCCCAAAAAAACCCCAAACCACCTCCATTTAAGCCAGTATTTTCAGATCTGTATTCTTAAAGTCAGATTCTATTTAAGCACTTCAATGTGAAACTTTTTTATTTAAAAATTATGAACATTTGAATTTTTTTTTTGTTGATCAGCATTTCTGAAGTAAAAGTAGTACAAAGCAGTAAAAGTAATCATTTACACTAGAAGAATGTGAATTTACAAATCTGACTTCAGACATTCAGTTTTGCAGATTTTTAAAACAATGTCTGGGACCATGATTAACGAACAGAAGTTAAAGACTCATGAGAGGTTATCTACTGAAAAAGCTGAAATGAAACTGGCTCCCATGAAAACCTTAATTGCAAGTTCTGTATCTGAAAGTTTTATTCTAGATTTTCAAGGAAGAAATTCTAAAACCTTTGTCCACACTTCAATAGTTAAACATTTCATAGAATCAAAGATTGATTCAGGTTGGAAGGGATCTCAGAAGGCCAAACAGTGCAAACTCCTGCTTAAAGCAGGATTAGCTAGAAGATCATACATTTTTCCTTCTATATAATGCAGTTCTGCAAAGGCCATCTCTGATTCCATGTGTTTCCTGGTCAGGCTACTACAACACCTGCTACCTGTAAAACAAGTGAAAGCTGGAATGAAAATTCAACTAGAATACAAAGAAGCTGCAATAGTTTCTGAAGATGGTGACGTGATAAGACCATACTATGCAGCCTTTCCATTGTTCATAGGAGCTGCTATTAAATTAGACATGAAATTTAAAGCTTTGTATGCTAATTGCAAAGCTGAAACAACTCAGGCTCCTGATCATTTTGTGAAAACTGTATTCTGTTCCCCTAGGTTACAATATGGTCCGAAAGAGTTGGTGTGACACTTCAATAATAAAGACAGGAAAGGGAGGTTAGATGCTTATAGCATTTTTTAGGAAGTAAAAGGGCACAGTTGGTTATTGTCCAATGAGACCTAGACATAGCAGATGGCTGACATCTATGAAGAGATTGTCTATGTTACGTAGAGATAAAAGATGCAAACATTTGTCAATTAAATACCTATCAGACCTGCCTGGAGGAGAGAACTACCTGGTATCTACTGATAAATCCATAGGATTAGGAGATGTGGAGAAGGCTCAAAAGGAACCAGACAGACTTGTTTGCAAATCTTCTGAAGCTGATAAAGACGAAGTTAGAGAGACCAGAATGTTTGGATAGTGACTTTGATTAAGGAGAAATGCCTGGACAGACAGCTTTTGTGTATACCATGCTTTTCCAGAGGACAGAAAATGCTGAAACTCAAGCAGTCAGCAAAGGGTTTACCTACCGTCTTTCTTCACTGAAACTGTAGCCAGAAGATACTTCCTTTCTTAGCTCTCTTCTGTGAGAAGAGTGTGGGAAAAGCAGCCCAGGAGAAACAAATGACAATAGAGAAATCAGAGCTGAATGCCCATATAGACATAGGTGGCACTGCAAGATTTCAACTACAGGTGTCTTCATTCCTGGGGAGAAAACTACCTTTGCTTTTTGGTAGAAACAGATAGAAAACCACCAAAAATATCTTCCAAGTTCCTAATGAAGGTAAAATTTCTTATTTTGAATCAACTCTCGATCTCAAATGCTAAGTCTACTTTCTTCAGTCTGTGATGTAACACTTTGGGTGACAAAGTTCTTGGGAAATACTCTAAAACAGGAAGAACCATGTAAAAGAAGAAATTGTAAATCATAAGGCTTATTTTTTCAAAATTACTTGTATTACACATCATCCTGATCATTTTAATGATCATTGTGACCTGTCTGCTATTAACAAATAAAAAAAAAAAAAAAAAGCAACACTGGATTTCTAGTTCATGATTACCTGTTACAAAATATTATTCTTTTAATTTCTTAAATAGAGGTATTATATCTTTCATTAAGATACAAGATATTCTGACATTGGAGGATAGATTACTTCACTGCAAACTCTAAGAGCTAAGCTAACAATTTCACTTCTTGGTAAAAATAATGGATTTTAGATTTATTGAGTCAATATTTATAGTATATGAATTTATCATGAATAGATGTTGCTTCATTAAAAGAGAAGTTAAACAATTTATTGTGGTCAAAACTGCTCAACTTATGCACATGCATATCTCCAAATATTTGCAGTCATATTATTATGCACCTGTATATACACAGGTAATATATTAAAATTTTAAGATGTAGAGTCAGTCACTAAATAACAGTCTTATAAGTTAAACATTGTTTTTAGTCTGTGTCTTAACTTCACTAACAGCAGCTCTGTTCACTAATCCATCCCTCCAAAATTTAACATTCCAAATATGGAACTATGTTTAAAAAAAAAACAAAAAACCAAAACAAAACCAAAAAACCAAAACCAAACAACCCCAAACCAACCAACCAAGTTGAAAAACAAACAAAAAAAATTGAATAAAAACCCTCAACAATTTTACAAATACAATTTCTGCATAAGTATTGTGGACAAGCTATATCAACTTCAGATGCAAGACAGGAAGTATTTAGGCATGTCACTAAATAGCTCTGTAATCTATTTTCTCAGGATCTTACTGACTTACCTAAAAATTAGCTTCATTTTATTGCAAAAGGGAAAACCACTTTTCATTGTAATAGAGAACACTCATTTCCCATTGGGCTAAGAAGTACTGGCATAAAATCTAACATTTTATGAGCAGAAAAGCCATTGAAAGTACAGATCTCTTCAGCTTTTTCTCTCCATCTCAGGCATAACAATTTTCATGTCTAAAAATTGAGAAACTAATCCTATAAACTGAGGCTTGTCTTTTTAGTATTTTCCTATAAATTATGCAGAGTATTTTTTATGTTAAAATATCACATATACAGAAAAAATAATATAGTAGTAAATATTAGAAATAATATACAATGGTTTATGCACAGTTTCATCCATCTAAAGCAGTCTGATCATTCCAAACTTATCCTGTTCAAACACATCTTCATATAAGCATTCTGTGTATGTCACTATATACAAAGTAAAGTAATTGCATACAGTTACCAAAGTATTTATAGAACACTGACTCTTGCTAGTGTAGGATTAAACAATCTTTTCCCATATAGGACAGGTGAGAAACTAAAATCTATCCTATATAGGATAGACAAGCTGAAATTTTAGTAATGTTCACTCATTTCTCTCAAACTTTTTCTTACTGAAGATAATGTAAAATAATTTTTAAATCCTGTATGACACATTTTCCACATTCTCCTTACAGGGCATTTTTTTTTTTTAAATTAAAATTATTCTGAAAAATGTAATGAACTAAAGAATACTAGACCAATAATACCTTGCAAATATATTTTGCATTGCCCATAGATTTTGAAAGACATCAGTGTAAAATGGGCAAAACTATGTCAAAAATAACATGAAATGAAATTGTAGAAAACATCACAAGTAAGTTATCTTTATATTTTCAAGTTCTTACAGGTAAGATTTGAAGTATCTAATATAGGGTCTAAAAAAACCAATTAACATTTTTGGGTTTATTTTCTAGATATAAAAGTAGGAAACATTCAGTTCATCTGTGTTTTTTAGTAACACTAAAGATTTACAAAAAGGTTCACCATTTAATATTAAAATTCAGCAATTTTTAACTAAAACTTAGAAGTGTATTATCACCTTATACAGTAAATAAAAGTTTATGAAAGACACATTATAGCATGGCATTGAAACTTAATAAAACACTGTCTAAAAAACTGCTGAGAAACGTGGAACATGTTAGTACAAGGAAAAAGAGGACCAGCAAATCACTAAAGGGTAAAATAACATTTTTTGAAAGAACATGTTATGTTGACCCCTTGCAGCCTTAAAGTTGTAAGACTTTCAAGGAGCTGCTGTGACTCTCTATTCCCAACCAAAAACTCACTTGTTTGATGCGATCGGGATTAACAGTGGTCTGAGGCTGTAGAATGCTGACAGGTTCTGTCTTGGCCACATTTTGAGGCATTTCTCGAATCTTCTCTGCAATGAAGCCATGTACTGCATTTAGTGCTTCAACTGTTCCCTGGATCAGACACACCCGCTCTGTAGTACCTGCAAATACCAAAAGTTGATCTGAATAAAGTAGATTCTTCAAGATCCTACAAACTGGTTTTGGTTATGGCACAAAAAGATGACACTCAAAAGTAACCCTACAAAACCAACTAGCAATACCTCCACAAACATACAAACAAAAGGAGAGATTTCCAAAAAATATACTGATTCTATGAAGATGTTTTAAACAATTCCTATTTGCGTAGATCCCACAAACATGTGACTTTCCAAGCCAATACACATAAGTTAGAAGAAGAAAAAAAAAACAACCAAAAACAACCAACAAAAGCAAATGAAGAAAGCCATTAGGTTTTGCTGGAAATATTAGCAATTATGGTAAGTGTGTGCAGAATATGTGTCTTCTAAATTATATGGCCTAGTTCTAGGTTATTCTAAAATATCACACAACTTTTAGGTAACACAAGGTTGAACATAATAGTCAGTATTATAGAGACACTTGGATTAAACTTTTGTAATAACACCTGAACTGCAAATACATTCACTTAGTGTAGACATTATTAGATCATTATTTAAAAAAGCTGCAAGTTGTAGCTGCAAGACAGTTCAACACCAACTGATCTCATATTTGAATATCCACTTTGTCTTTTATAACCTTACTACCATGCAACATCCCTGCCAATAACTGCAATTATTTACTGAATACGTGGAGTTTAATCTGTCTTTAATGTGATTGAGCAGCTGGAAATTATGAAAGCTTGTACCAAATAAGTAGTCAATACCCCACAAATTAAATTTCAAGAACTTCTGTTTAGAGTTATGCTATATTCTGTTCTTGCAGGATATCTAAACTCCACATATCTTCTAAGCATCCATGTTCTAAGGTCATGGAAAACCACTACACACTTGTCAAATAGGTCTGATAGGTGAAATACGTATTTATTCCATGTGTAAGAACACTAAGCCTTTGGTGGCAATAAAGCAGAGGAAGGGACACTTTCCCATCATGCTCATTTGTAACGATAGGCTTAATAAAAACAGTCCTTGAACATATTCCTCATTCCCAAACTCTGCTGCAAAGTATAATCTTCTGTTTCTTATCATTTCAATTTTGCCTGGTTTTCAGTTCTGTTTTGTTCTGTTCTGTATCATTTTCCTTAACTCTCCTCTCCAGCCTGAAGCACATTTTTTCTTGTATTGGCTGTCACACTCTCTCCCATATATCACCATTACTTACACTCACCTTTAATTTCAGTGACTCTTATAATGACTTGCCTACCCCTCTAGTGTGGAGAAAGACAGTCTGACATGCCATGTTTATCTCATCTTTTGTATACTACCTCACAGAATGTGCAATTCTATGCAGATTACCAACATATATCAAATAACCACCATATCTTCAGTTACAATTCTCTGGAAAGGCTTAGACAAAGCCTACACAGCCATATAACCCTTTTCCAAACTGAAATGGTGTATCAGTGTATTCCTGAAAACATTAATACTGCCACGCAAAGATATGCCAGATACATATCGCCATTCAGTGCCAGTCTGCATTTTGCTTCAAGATTACAGGGTAGGGACGTAAAATAACAAATTTGAGCCACAGAATTACCACAAAAAATAAATATATTTTTGTTATTGATGTATTCCTTGTAAATATTATTGAAATGATCACATGTGAATCTTTTCTAGATGAAAAATACATTCACTCTACCTACATAAATGAAAATTACAATGTAATGATGTGGTAATTACTAACAAGTTAGTAATGACTTCTGAAGTTTGCAAAATGTTAGTTGGCCTCATTACCATTGTACAATTTGCAAAGAATCACAGGCAATGCATAGCTTACAGAAATGTACCAGGGAGGTAAGTAACCTCCTCCCTAAAATTCCCTTCCTTATCAACTTTACCTCTGAAACTGATAACAGGGAATATTACTGATCTTAAAATATGCTCCTTACAACACTGCAACATAGTCTTTAATAGATAATAGTACAGTAACCTTAGTCATCTGCAAGAAAAAAAAAATGTTTTTTTATTAGTAAATGCTTCTTGTCTGCTTCTGTGGATGATCTCTAAAGATTAAATATTTCATCACCTAAAGATGAAACAGCACACTAAGAATCCTGCTGCTCATTAACTTAACATTCATGTACACTTAAAACCTTTCAAAGAAGAAACAGTATTAGACAATACTGAAATTAAACTTTGTGGAAGAAACTGACAGAAAGAAACATTTTTTTTTAATGTGTTGAAATATATTATTGAAAAATAATTAAAATGAGGATTAAAATATGTCAATCAGTATTTCAAAAGCTGTCGGGTTAATAATCTTTGAGTTAAAATTTAAAGTTAAAATGATTACATTCTTAGCAGCAAGTTATACAAGTATCACAGTCAAATAATATTTCTCGAGAGCGAGGTTTTTAGAACATTTGTGTGACCTGTTAGTGTAAATCAACTTCAAAATACAGCTTTTTTTTTCCCAAAACACTTAATCAAAAAAGAAAGTTTGACTGACATAAGTGGAAGTCACCACAGAAAATGAAACGCTTCCTAGATGAAGTTTTCTTAATGCTTCCCCCCCCACTTGGCTTCCTCCTGCTTTTGCAAACAACTCCTGTGGTTTCTGTGTAAAGCAATCCAGCCCTAAGAAAATGCTCTGGGGAGTCTTTACGCCACAGTATTAATTGTCTCCTAAACGATGAGATGTGATGTGGATTGATCAATGCAGCTAATGCAAGTGTTCTCTAGGTCAGCAGACAACACACTGAAACAAAACACAGATCCAGTTACGTCCAAGCTAGCAGAGCCTAATACAGAAAGCACTTAACAGGGACAACTACTGTCAAAACATCTGAAAGGAAAACAGTCAATACAAAGTAGGAATTTCATTAGGCTTGACATTAAGTGACTAAAGGATTTCTACAACCTGTATTATTTCAGAAAGTGCAATATAATAAAAATATGCTTTATGTCATACTACAGACCAAACACACTACATTTCACTCTATGTATAAACCAGGATGCAGCAAATGGAAATCACTGTTCCACGAAGAAATATAATTGTGCCAAAGCATATTTCATGTAGAATAAGATACAGTATTAAAGTGCATCACAACAGTAGCACATTTTCTTCAAGGGTTACGTCAACAACAACAAGTAAAAAAAAAGTGTGGAGAAATAGTATGCATGTACAGTTGGGAATTGCTTTAATCTTCTGAAGTGATGTTGTCGTATTCCTTCACACAACTCTAATAGCTTTTCACTCAGATAACGGAGTACAATAATTTACAAGAGTCACACAAAAGGAAAACTGCCAGCTGTATGACCAACCTGTATAACAAAAATAAGCCTATGAATCATGGAAGTTGGTGAAATTTCTGTCATTTTAAAAGCTTTTAGACTCCATTAGTGTCTGAAGAAAACTGTCAGATTATTTATCATTTTCAGTTGTTTAACAGTTGCATCCACTTCTTTTTTCACATTTCTGTGAACAAAAGCTCAGTCATCTACTTGCTTTCTTTTTATCATATGAGTTTCAAAATATCTATTTAAAATACAGATCTCTTCTTTGAAATAGCTGACTTATAAAGGCCTGATTGTTTTGTAATTTGGCTTTCTCTACTTTTTTATTGTGCAAACATAGCCAATATAAAATTATTCTATTTTTTTAAATTATTTGCAATTCCATTTGGAGTTAGGGTCACGTATGGTATGTTGCTTTTTATACATGAAGAGATAAAACATACATAAGAGAAGAATAATTCTGCCACAGAAAATGACTAAATGCAGAATGCACCATCAACAGCATGTATTTAGGCAGTGGTTTTCCTAATCTGCAATCACATGCAAACTTCTGTCATGGACTTTACTATTACTGAACATACATAATTTTTTTTTTCTGTTTTTTTTTTTTTTTTGGAATGTACAGAGATGATAATCACCATAAGTTTTTTTTCTCTGAGAAGGCTGATACAGCTTTTAAAACACCCATTAGAATATATGTTAGAAGATGCAGCAGAATAAAAGATGCTGATGCTTTCAATGTTTTTATTTCTATACTTAACAGGCATACATACATCTATCTATGGTTACCAGTAAACTTTTAAATGTTTGCTTAAAGACTCTGATTCAAAGTGTAAGAGTTCTATGGTATTCACAGAAACAGTCTCTAAAAGTTAAATGTGCCTCTATTTTATGAACCTTAGTTTTGGGGAACACACTGTACCTTTCAGAAAGGACTGTCTGGCATTTATATGACTATATATGCTTTTCATTGGGCTTTTCCATCAATCTTAAAGAGCACTTGAAAGCCTAAAAGCACAATGCATTATCAGTACAGGGTAATCCCAACACAACCACTAATTAAATCTCCTTATATTTTTCCAGTGTGCCATGCCAATTTCTCTGGCAGTGAAAGGGAAAACCCAACAGAGGAGCCAAGGCTAAAACCTTAACTAAATGACAGGCTGCACTACAGTCTCTCACCAGCTGATTTACATTCAGCTTTTCATTTGACAGCTCACAGTACAGCAGTCTACTAACCCTAATGTCCTGTTTTCGTGACCCATGATCAAATGGCCTGTAGAGCAGGATTCTATATAACAGCACTACTGACTGCTTCAGCCTAAATCTGATCTTGCAAAAGCTCTTGGTAAAATAGGACTGTGCTTTGACACCATTCTCAAGAAACGTAAAAATTGTCAATAACACGCTTAATATGAAAATCAAATAAACTCTTCCTTGCATATAACATTTTCTCTCTACACTTGCATAAAACCTCAGCAAATGAAAGTCAGACAATAAAGATGTGTTTTATTCAAATGCATTAGCAGTATTTCACAATATCTTAAACATATATGAAAAACCTTTGTCATATAAATGACAAAATGTGCACAACCTTAACTGCAACACGTAAGAACATCCCACATATGTGCGAAGTGTCATAGAAACCTCAACAAGACAGGGTTTTTTCCTTCAGTCTTTATCTCCTTCCTGTCCTTTTACCTTTGTTTCATGAGAGATTAACTGGT